TCGTATTTCAATTTAACGTAATATTTTAATTATTTATTTTTAATAAATGAAATAATTGGGAGTATAGCACAGCGCTCAGCAATATTGTCATTCATGAAGCAAAGGCAGTAATTCGACCCCCTCCCAAACGCTCTTCTCCAATCCACATGGGAACACCCTAACTCGGCTATCCCCATGATTGCGAGGAGAATCGACTCGATCATTCATTCATAAAGAAGACGAAATCTTCAAGCATCAGCTGAAATAACACGAGAAATGTTCGAGGACCTTCGTGAACGACGAATGCGAGGAAAACGAAACAATTGCAAGAAATTTTGGAATCCGCGCAGTAGGTGTGATTGCGGCCAATGGAGGGTAAAAAAATGGAAAAAATGCATATTACTTCATTGATAAGCTAAGTCGATAAGAATTTCATCTGCCTAACATCTCAGCGCCTTCTCCTTTTTGAGAGCCAAATTGATCGTGCTCTTTTATACAGGGCGATTGCTATTACTGCTGCCGATAAGTCATACTTCATTCGGACGGTGAACCGCTGCATTCAAGTCGATGCGATCGCGATGACCCAACAGTGGATAGTCGACTCGGTTCAGTCGTGATCAGAAGAAGACAAAGGGCGCCGAAAACTTAGCCGGATAACGTTTTTTTATCAACGTCATGTTAGATTATCATTGAATACAACTGTTTTGTCATTGCTGAGATAAAGGGAAATTCGATTTTTGGAAGAAGTGGGTGCTTAAAGGAATTTTTTATTCAGGAGTAATCGCGCTTCGTAGTGTTTTTCGTGTTCCTATTAGAATAAGAAACCATGTGGCAACTAAAGTTTATATCATGTTTTCATTTCTCCTCCTTAATGGATTATTATTTTTATATAGGTCTACTAATTCAGTGTGTTTATCTGCTAAATTGAAGGCTCACGTTGCTTGGATGACGAGTAGCGATTCGTGTCATGGCGGCACAGACGAATTCAACACTCCCTTAGAAGAGGTGTGATATGAGCAATTGTTAGCGACTATTCTTCGGAAGTTTTTTTTTTATTTTTTAAAGCCGTAATTCGCCATACATAGTTTAGAAGTGCTCACACTCTTCACAGTTCTACAATGGAGTGTCTCAGGAGGCGAGTAGAACAATGGTAGTGATGCCGACTACCGTGAGGAAGGTGCTGGCTTGACTTTGCCTGAAGGCCCGCCAAGCTTGTCATCCCTTGGGGTCGGGAACATGCCACTAGACTTGTCTACGAGAATTTGACTTCCTTCAATCCAGGTGTGGACTACCTAGCCCGGTTGTGTCACCACTCCAGGAAGAATCGATTCGACGAACATTCAACGATATTCATAAGAGAAGGAAAATCTTCAATCAGAAATCGAAGCCACATGTAAAGAGTTGGAAAAGCTTCATGAATGGTGGATGCGAAAAAACGAATGAAATTCAAGAGGTGCTGGGACTGGCGTAGTAAATGTGAAGGACTGGTAGTAATATCAAGAAACAGCATTGCAATTTTGATACTAGGCCATGTATTTTAACTGATTTTGGTATTGCGACCATGAGAGGTAGCTGGTCGAGTTCTACTGCGACATAGATTTAGTCTCAACTAGTCTTCCAGTAGTACTAATATCCAACTCTTCAACCTAGGTAACAATGCTGCTGTAGATCCCCACTGTGTATCTGCATGCAGGAAGATCTGCAGTCACGATGAGAGTTGGGAGCCTCCAAGTGCTTCTCAACTGTATATTGCATACTTTCGGCCAAAGCAAGGTACACCGCGTAGAAACGGGGTAAGCCCAGGCCTTCTATGCTTAAGCAATATCGCGCGTGTATAGAAAGTATATGTCAGTTCGTCGTGGCTCGAAAGGAAAATTAATCCCTCTGGTCTCTTAGGACATGTTTGTAGTCGCATTTGGTTCAGTTTCAACATTTAGTCGCTTCTCTAGTAGAAGCTACTTAATCTTACGCCTAGCCGGCTCAAGATCCAGCGGTATCGGCTTTTTCTATGGTAAATCGCCTAGATTTCTATGGTAAACCAATACCAGGATCGGCTACCGTCCTGGTATCAAACTGGTATCAAACTATTAACGTAGTGGCAACTTTCCTTCTGATCCACAAGGGCTTCAACTGCCCGTGGTGATGAAGACCTGGGGCAGACTTTGGCCAGGTTGACCTCAGAATTACAGGGAACCGCAATGGCTTAACCAGCAGGTCTCCGAAAAATGGTGATTATGCTCGAGCCCGCACAACCAGTGAGGACGGACCGTTCAAGTTCAAGTTCGAGTCGACCAAGAATGCGTGTTTTTTCTCTACGACTGTCTTCGTTTGATGGCTTCAATCGCAAATAGAATAAATCAGCTGTTTCACTTTAGCAAAAGAATTTTCGTTGTTAAATGATGTTACAGACTATTCGGGAACTGGAACAACTGAAAATGCAGCTCGAATCGGATGAAAAGGATATGGGGATCCGTTAAGCGAATCCTGCGCGGCCGGTATACATGAATGAAAGGACTTTCGACTAGGTGACTGAACATCCTGATCTTCATTCTATCGTTTTTCGTTTTTTTTTTGTGAGCATTGTTGAATATATTCAGGTTGCCACGACCGACTTTCTATTAACCTCGGGATTGATCAAGTGATTTTCTTGGTATTTTTGTTGAGCAAACGCGAGGTGTTAGTAACACCTCGCGTTTGCTCAACAAAAATACCAAGATGTTCAGGTTGCTTCTGATCATAGAATATCTTTTTGTTGTTTACTTTTAATGTTGTTTTATTTGCTGTTTTCATGTCATATCTGTATCTGTGGAACTTATGCCATGTTATTATTTGGTTTTACTCTCGTTGAGAAGATTTATTAGAATTTGTATATGCCTACGTTCACAAAGCGACAAAACAAGAAAGTATTTCTTTAGTGTATTTGACATGAAGAGGAGGTAAAAAGAATGTGATCCTTCTACGAATTACGTTGTATTGAACAGTAGCACTTCTCATCTGTTAGTCTGCCATCCTTGACTGATCCGACCGCATACCAGTAAAGACTTCATTTGTCCTTGTCGCATACAGGAGTAGCCCAGAAGGTCTTGCCATCTCAAGGAACTCTAAGAACATCATGTTTTACGTCTAAGATCATTGAGAAGAAGTTTTACCACCTGGTCGAGTGTTTCTGCGCTTGACATCCATTGGAATCCATTTGCGAACTGCCTTTGCCCATCAGTTATCTTTAAAAGATGCATCGATTCTCAAGCATAATGCTGGGTGGTTTGGAGATTTCGTCATCGTGGATTTTGCAAATAACTCTCGTAACACACTTTAACCGTGTTGGAAATTATACTCGCTTGTTGCTCTTCAAGTGCCCGAATGATGTCCCTTGAAATGTAGCCAGACGTGTTAGTAACGTCGAGTTTAATTCAGTAAATAGTGAAGTTGGTAGATCAGGCCTTTGAATAGCATTCCATCGTCGAAACTCATAGGGGTACATATCAAAAGCAGAACAAGGTGAGTTGGTACTTATGCACGTCACCGTGTTAGAAGAAATCAGAGTGAACGATGAATATGGATGAAAGAGATTGAAACAATGAGGCAATGTGCTTCGGCTCCTGCCATATGGCTCGTAAATGCGGAATTTTTAGCATCCAAGTAGTCAATACTAAAAGTTTAGTATCTAAGTGGACTTCTCGATAAAAAAGAATTCATTAAGTAATCTGCAAAGTGAAGCAAACCCCCGGGTATTCAAATTCCGGAGATTTTAGCCTTAGCAGTTGCGGAATGAAGGCCGATAGCAAGGCATTCTGATAAAAATAGGAGCTTCCGCATAGTGTTTGTTACTTAGTAAGACATCTGCTTTTTTTACCAACCTTTGAAGTTTATCACAAACACCTATCTGAAGAGTAGGCGTGAACCAGCTTTCTGCTTCTCTTCCACAAGCCTACACTTAACCTCGATATGCATAATCAATATTTTCCTTCATAATGTTCAGCTTGCAATTCTGTACAACTGGTTAACTTAATCATTCTTGTCTATTAATTGAAACCACCATCGAAACTCTGTATCACCCTGCCTGCTAAGTCTGCACTCCGTCACCAAATCAGAAAGAAAAGAACTGTGAAAAGCAAAATGGAATAAAAACGTCATTGACGAAGTGGAATTAAAAACAGCCTATCATTGCTTAAAGGCACCGCTTCCTCACCTCAACCAACAGACAGTGGAGCTCATATTTGCAGCACATTGTGGCAGGTCACAGGGCGTCCTTAATTTTCACAGTTCGGAAGGAAAGTTGCATGGAAATCATCTCCTTTTTGTGCTACGCAAATCTTTTTCATGGAAAGAATCTGATGATGCGATGTCGTGAGACTACATGAAGCGAACCAGTACGACATGAAGGGAATTTCAAAAAAGCCGTAACAGAACACGAGTCATGAGAACTTCCTCATGATGAGAACTGCAAATTAAGCTCAACACAGGGTTGGACCCTCCACCCCGAAGATATAAATTGCTCGCGTTAGAAGACTCGTGCACCACTTGGCGAATTTTACACTCAACTGATGACTTGGCCGAAAATTCCTTTCATGAACTCCCAAGAATCTCTTCGTACAACATGCCTCTTCTAAATTATCATCGTGAGCAGTCACTAAATCTTGTAGGACAGGGAGCGGTTTTCCACCCTACGGCTCTTTCCAGTAAAGCAACAATCAACGAAATTGCTTTTCTACTGGCTCTCTTTTCGACGGAAATTACTCCTTTCGAAGGCAGTTACTCGATCTTTTCGCCCTGCCAGTATTCGGCCTCTTTGTCCCGACCATTCACGGACGGCACTCTTTTTGTAGTTCAGTCTTCAGTATTCACTCTCATTTCAAGATTTGTTTGAGATACAATCAAATTTGGTTCAATTTTCCTCTCAGTTTGAATGCAGTCCAGTGCAGATTCTTCAATTTCATGACAAAACAAACAAGAAAAGACGCTTAATCATGTAACGTTATCGAACTTTATTAACACTAGTTTGGTTTCGACAGAGGTTTGTCTTATAAGTTTTGCGTGGTGACGTATTCGGCGTAGTCGATGTAGCCGTCTCCATTCAAGTCCATGTCCTTCAGCACGCCGTCCACCATCGTCACCAATTCGTCATCACTTTGGGTCAACGAGCGTGGAACTGCAAATGGAAATACCTTCTCCTTGGGAAATTACATTGCTTCTGTTCTTAGATTTCGTTCCCAGATAGGCTTAACAAGTTCTATTCTTTTGTGTTAAATTTATAGACCGTTTTAAAACACAGATTTCACTATGTTGCTGTTTTTATTTTTACTTTATAATCCGCTTAATTTGGTGCATTGAAGTAAAAACGGAATATGACAGAATTTTTGGAATTTTCTATTCGATACTGCACATCAAGGTGAGGCCGTGGAAGCCGCGAGGAATGCTAACGTGGTGTCTAGGAAATGCTAACGACAATACGACACAAAACTGGTTTCAGGAGTTTCATGATGAAGATGGGAGCCAGGAGGACCAGGACGGTTAGGAGAACTCCGCTGCCAGCAGTGGAAACACTTAAAGACAATAACGAAAGCCTTGAAAGTTTTCCATGGATACCAGTTCAAGCGTATAGACAGTGGCTTAAGAAGAACCACAATTTGGTTGTACATTAACGAGGTATGAAACTCCCAAAAAAATTCGAAAAACTCGACCCCCGTACGAATTGTACCGACAGTGAAGAGATCGCCGTAACGATATCTATTCTACTCTGTCCAGTTTAGGTATGATAAAGCAACGAAACACTTTTAAAGCCAATTCTAAATAAAATGATTGCAGCAAATTCTAGTGCTTAGCCGATAGAGCACCTCGCATCTAGGCCTCTAAAAACCCTCGCAAAATCATTGTCATTATTGTCAGTGAATTGAACACATACTTACAAATTGCCATGCTTGCGACCGACAGTGAACAAACAAAAGCAACCAAGTCTAGTGAACGACAATACCTGGATCGCACAAAGCAAACATTACCAATGAAAGCATTAGACAAAAGCTTCGATTCATTGTCACAACAAAGAGCTCTAAGGTGTTAACGTGCCCGATTTTTAAGGTGACAAGTCAATATCTCGGTTGGAAATTTTTAAAGAAAAGTCTAGATTTATGTGGTCAAATTAGTATTGTCAATCGGCAATTAGTGCAGGACAACAAAGGGCAGAGTAGCCTAGTAACATGTTCAACGCTGTGGATTTATCCTAAGATTTCTTAGTAAGTTTGAGACTGCAAGAACGGAATGGTATGCTTTCTCTAATGATTCGCATCGATTTCCATTGTTAGGTATGGGTTGAATTTGATACTATGAATAAATTTTTACTTTTTATTTTCCGCCTACTGCAATTTTCATGGCAGGATATCAATATAGTAAAAGAAAACATGAGGGAGACGACGAAGTGGAGCCAATCTAAATGCCGACTAAGCCATCGAAAGAGGTGATATTGTTGAAAAGATGGTTCGCCATATATAAAAATGTGCGCAGATTGATTTTCTACCATGCATTACAACCTCATGAATGATGGTCGCACTCAACATGAGCTTTGATGATGTCGTGGAAACCGGTCAAGCCATGGAATAATCTAATGTTGAGGAATCAACAGCAAATTATTTTCAGATACAGACACACCGAATTACCCACCAATTAGTATATTCTCTTCCCAACGATTTACCGCTTCATCGTAGATGGGAAGTATTCCTGGGCATCGGACTGCGATGTACAGCGGGTGATTCCTCCCACCGGCAGGGTCACCCAAGTTGAGAAGGAGTCCGGTGTTTCCATCAGGAAGCCTAGCTAGGAGTAAACCAATACCAGGATCCACCACCGTCTTGGTATCAAAGTGGCACGGTGGTAAATCTCTCTCTGATCCGCAAGGGTTGCGACTGCCTGTCGTGGTGACGACCTGGAGGAGACCGCTGCCAGACTTTCCTCGGGATTCCAGGGAACCACAATGGCTTAACCAGCAAATCTTCGAAAAGTGGTGATTATGCTGGGGCCCGCACAACTAGTGATGATCGGCCGTTCAAGTGTCATGTATCAAGTATATTCTTGGCGGTGTACATGTGAGTGTGGAGAGGGAAGTACGGCTCACGGTGCGCACTGAACACAGTGTGCGTTTTCGTGACTTTGTTACGAGACTTGTACTAGAGACACTGACGAACTTTTAAAATGGAAACAGCTTCAGGAGCGTCTATTTTAGGCAATTGGTGCAATTTGTCAAAGCTGCTTAGTAGGCGTAATCTGGGTCGATTCCCATGGCTTGTGAAATACAATTTATTGTTATTCGTGATTATGTTTCAAACTTTGCACGCATTCCAGTATACGAGTGCACTTCTTTAAAGAATTCTTCTAACAAATTTATCGTTTTTAACACTGAGTGGGATCGGCTCGCGTCCTGTAGGTCTAATAAGAGGATTTCAAACAGGCTTATAACTGTATTCAAAAAATGAAGAATACCTTCGTTATTAATAACTCTAAAGACCGACTTTCTATAAACCTTGCCATAGATAGTTGGTATATTTATCTATGTGATCTTATAAACTGATCTTCTTAAGCTGACGCGAGATTGGTACAGGTCTTCGTTGTCGTTGTCGTTGTTGTTGGTCGATGGCTGACGTTTCGGCGACTTCGCCTTCCTCAGAGCCTGGACGTGTTTTATATTAGAATATTTTCATTGTTCGGGGTCAAAATATAAAATATATGCGGATCCTAGCGCAGGAATCAAAAACAGCAACGGGCAAAACTCTTGAGGCGTTTTGGATAAATTTTAAAAATCCAAAGATGAACCGGAAAGACGAATGCCTCACTATCACGCGTGACCTGGCGCCCTATTTCAAAATGATATTTTGACCCCGAGACGTGCGTTGCTCGCGACCCTTCGAAAAAACGCGAGGGCCAGTCCCGCACGTAACATTACGGTGAGTGGCCTTTCTCTTCAATATGGCGTCTATTTGAGAGGTTAATCCTCATTAATACTTTAACCTTTCTTTTCCACTGAATAATAAAAAAATATTCTAATATAAAGTACATCCGGGCTCTGAGGAAGGCGAAGTCGCCGAAACGTCAGCCATCGATCAATAACATCAAAAACAACGACAACGACAACGAAGACCTGTACCAATCTCGCGACAGCTTAAGAAGATCAGTTTATAAGATCACATAAATAAATATATCAAACCTTCGTTATTTTTGTAGTCGAATTTGGTTCGAAGGCGGCTAATTGTTTGCTTGGTGTGAAAGCGTTTGGGAATACATGAGTTGGTCCACGGTGGAGAGCCGCCGTGTTTTACCCGGGTAAATCTCTGATTCGACTGAAAAAGCGCCGAAGTTGTGAAGCCTTCAAAAACTCACCGACCTGCGCCTTGTGTGTGGTCGTGAGCTAAAGCCTTTATTATCTCGGTACCATCAATGCGATTATCTTTGTCCAAATCACTTATTGAGAAGTAATAGAACCTGAAATTTCATTATTTATTAAAATTCATCGCGTGAGGTTTTTCCAAATGAGGCTTGCTTACACTAACAAGTTAGCGTGATTGGTTGAACAAACAATCTATAAAAGTGTTACCTCTGTTGATCGGGAGTCAAGTTGCCCACGTCAATCTTGTCACTCAAGTGTTCCTTGATATGGCTAGGATTAATAACATTATTTTGAGCTTCATATGGAACATTAGTGGTCTTTTGCTTCTCGATTTCTTCTTAAGCTATCTAACAAGATGAAAATCTCACCTCTGATCATGAACTTCTGCATCACCGGCAAAAGGACGGTCAGTAGCGCAGATGGGAGTGACAAGCACTGAAAACTAACTTAAATCCTTGATTATCCAACAGTTATCGTTCTGTGAACACTACAAAGTTAAAAAACAACTTTAACGATTTCGAACTCTCAACAGCTGCTGCCATTAAATATCAACATACTAGATTTATATTCTTGCTCTTCTCTCTCTTGATTTGAAACAAGTTTCTGGAAGAACCACTCTAGAACTGTTGCAGCTCGTCTCTAGCTTGTCCAAAGGAAAAGTAATATGACAGTTTCAGTAAGTTGTAGGTAAGTTGGTAAGTTGATTGTGTAATGTAGAAACAAGTCCAGCGGTGTGCGTCCATCACAACCTAGATTTGTGACTATAACTCTCTGCTATCGTTCATATAAACTATTTGTTTTTCTAGAGCGCCCACTCAGTGTTTGCCTGATAAATTCACCATAAGGTGTTCTAGGTATCTTCCATTAAGCTGCATCCAGAAAAGAGATGGATGGCGTATATTTCCAGACGAATCCAGATATTCGAGTACTCGTAGAAAAAAGGACGAAGCTATCGACGTCAATACCCTGAGGTGCTATACATTCGACTTCATCAATCATCGTTAGAGTTCGCTGAGTGCATGTCTGGCCTTCACAATCCCCGTATCCTTGTGACCTACCGACGTGTCGAATCAGTGGTGCTATTCTCCCAGATTGGAGTGATAACAATTTGTCGACCTGGGGAATTAAGGGCCTGGTGAACCCTGACTGCGTGATCGAACCAAGAACCACGTGTGTATTGTAGGACACCTCTAACCATTGAGTTACACGTGCTCTTGTAGCACTCCTATAATATACAAAATTGAAGTCATGGAATCCTTCATGGTCGTACATGCACAGAAGGAAAACGCAAAAACAAAGCTGTAGTGCGCCGCGGATGTAGCGCAAAGGTTAAAGCTCTCTGGAAGTATCAGACGATATCTCAGGTAGTCCCTCCAACAGAAAATTGAGGGTGAAGAATGGGGTCCATTTTTCGACCGGTGACCGCCCAATGATAGCACCTGCTGCTTCCATCCCTTTTTAATATCGAGCGAGCGTCAGTAAATCTTGAATTTTTCATTGTCGCGTAAAAGAGTAGACCAGTGGGTTTTACTAGCTCTAAGGATTCGTTGAGCATCATACCTTTCTCCTAGGCTTTTTGTTAAGAACTCTGACCATCGAGTCGATAGTCCTCCTGCAGTAAGTTTGACATGCCGAGTAATCCCGTGTGATGTCCATCGGTTGCCGTTTATATGCATTGCGTGTCCAGCCTACCTTATCTTCAACAGTTTCGTGCATAGAACGGCATCCTTAATTTTTGATCGCTGACGGAGGTTAATGGCACATGTTGCGCAGTGGTCGGAGGAATTCTGCAATACACACGGGATCGATTCTTGAGCCCAAGTCTCACCAAGCCTTCCATCCTTCAGCGGTGGGCAAATTGGTACCAGACTTGTCCGGGAGGATAGCAGCACTGGCTCGGTAAATCGGTAGGCCACCGCGAGTCATTGTAAAGGCCAGATAAGCATTCAATCACATCCAACAGTGCTTAATGAAGTCGAATGCTTCGCGCATCCCTCGCGGATTGATCAATGCCCAGAGCTTCATACTTTACCCTTTTCCGCACGTCGCAGTAACGGATCCCTTCCGCCAGTTGCGTGACACGAGCTACTCCTAGCATCGTCCTTTCGGCAGCGCGTTTAATAACACTGAATGACACTTCATTCTGCTTCCGCAACGACAAGGCTTCTGGCGAGAAAAGGTGGGCAAGGTGTCGGGTGTTCCTTTTTTTCCTTAATATGTCTTCGATCCTCTTGAAAGTTTCCTTAGCCGCTCGTTTCCTCCTGCTTAGCTCTAGAGCTAAATCGTTCATGGTCGTTAGATAGACGTAACTGGACCATTCGGAGAAATTAGTGCCGTTGAGCGTGAATGAGGCATACGTTACTAATCTAATCCGCTCTTCATTAACATCGTTTTCGTGAGACTTAGTCGAAGACCAATTTTTCCACAGGCTTTATCAAAGTTGGCAAGCACTCGTTCTACTTCGCTAATATTTACTGCTATAAGGACGATGCCTTCAGCAAAGCGAAGATGGTGTAACTGCTAACCATCGATTTTCACTCCCATATTTTCCCATTCCAATGTCCGCATGACGTTGCCGAGGGGCGGTGGAAAATTATTTTGTCGAGATGGTATCGCCTTATCTAACCCCTGTTTTGATGTCGATGTTAATATTCTTGTAAAACGGTGACTTCTTGGGTGTGAAATTTCTGTACAGATCACGAAGAATCTTTATGCACTGAGCAGGGACTCCCTGACTGTCCTGGGCTTCTATGACTGTTTCTATCTCGGCTGAGTCAAGAACCTTCCTTAAATCGAGCAATGTGAGACAGAGCGTTTTCTTATACTCTTGCGATACTTCAAGGAGTTTCTTTATCGTGTGGATGTGGGCCATCGTACTGAATTCTTTTCGAAATCCTGCTTGCTTACATGGCTGTCTCTCTTCCAATGTTCTGTCAATCCTGTCTACACTCGAGTGAAATGTTTGCAGACGACAGACGGTAAGCAGAATGGGTAACGGTTTCCCATATCGTGGCGGTATCCTTTCTTGAATAGCAGCACGATCTTGCTGGTCTTCCGCAGAGTAGGGACCTTGCATTCAAACAGGTAACGTGCCACGAGCCGACCTAGTGTGTTTATGAGGACTGGCGGATGATTCTTCAGGTGTTCAGATCGTATCCTCACCGGACCTGGTGTTGTTGGATTTTTCACCGACGAAATAGCATGTAGGATTTCGGAAGGTAGAACCGATAGTACGACACTTCCATCCTCCTTTATTTTGTATGAAGGCGGGAGGTACGTGGCTATTGAAGCTATCCGAGTAGTAGTCGTGAACGGTTTTTTTCATTGCCTTTCTGGACGCTGTAACTGTTCCGTCTGGGCGCCGATGTCCAATCATCTTGGTTTTTGCAACTGGCGAAGCTCCGGTATGCTACGCGAATACTTTTCTGAGCCTCCGCATCTTCGACAATAACTGCTGCTCTTCTCTCTTTAAAATCTTTTTTTACCGCATGTCTGCATTATTTTGCAAGTTCGGACGTGAGTGGGCGGTTGCTTGTAGCTCGTGCGATTGCACTCCGGCGTATCAGCTCGAATGTTTCTGGAGACAGACGTCTCTTGGCGATTTCTGAACTGTCAACTTTCTTAGCGCTAACGTCAAGATGTCGCATGTGCCGATCGTATTCCTCGTCGATGTTATCGAAAACGGCGCTTTACGAACGGCGGACTATGAATTGAATGTCGATGTACATGTTTGTCTATTTCTTTAATTATTTATTTTACATAACCTGTCTTACCTTCCAACGGTTTACCGCCTCGCCCTCGCTGGGATGTGTTCCTGGATGTCGGGATGCGATGGGTATTCATCCTCCCAGCAGGGTCTCCAAAGCTGAGAAGGATTCCGGCGTTTCCATTTGTAAACTCAACAAAGGGTAAACCATTACCAGGATCCACCAACGTCCTGATATCAAAATTGTTGTATGGTGGCAAATCTCCCTCTGACTCACAAGGGCTGCGATTGCCTGTGGTGGCGACGACCTGAAGCAGACTTTGGCTTGGCTGACTTCTGGGCTCCAGGAAACCACAATAGCTAAACCAGCAGAACTCCGAAAAAGTGGAAAATACGCTGAGGCCCGCACAATCAGTGAAGACGTTCCAGTACTTCTTCATTTCTATTCGTACGCTCGCATCCATCATCTAGGAAATTTATAGGATTTCTGAGTGGATTCAGGTGCTGCTTGGAGAATTTTGGTCCTCTTCTATGAACGCCGTTGAACATTGCTTGAGCCGATTCTCCTTGGGGTCTAAGACAATCGCGCTGGAGAGTTCCCACTTGGATTGAGGAAGGAAGGTAAGCTCAAACAAGTTTTGTACTATCTTTCTAACCCCAGAGGGATGGGAAGGTAGACAGGGTCAAACCAACACCGTGCTCGTGATGAACTGCATCACTAATACTGCACAATCCACCCTCCCCCTATCTCTCCATGTATAGCCAAATAACTGCCACTCTCCACTCATTTTTCGCATAATCTTTTCGGATAAAATGTGCAAATTTGGTAACGATGAGAAGTGGTCTATGGGCACCAATTTGCTTTTGTGAATGGTTGACAAAAAATTTTTCCCCAACACTTTTAACCATTGTTCAACGCTGCATCCACGTCGTCCTTTACAGAAGAATAGCCAAACACTAAACCAAATAGACAACGCGGAAAGATCAAAAATACATGAGGATTGCCATTCGTACTGTATTCAGTGGACATCACGAAATCACCTTGAACTTGTTGGAACTATTCGTCAAGAAAACAGTGATCAAAAAATGTTTTTTTTCAAACATCATCAGTTTAACGTTACTACAGCCATAACTTAACATATGCATAGTGAATTAAAACATGGCGCGGAGAAAGGTAAAGCACGGGCCTCGGTTGGTGTGGTGGATAGTACGTGAACCGCCGATAAGGGTAATCGCGGATTCGTGGCGCAGATAGGGTTCCGAGTTTTAAGCATATCTCAGGATCCCTGTGAACCGTTTCTATTCCGGACATGTTCTTTTTATGTGCCACGGTAGGCACTAAATCGTATGAAGTATATCTCGTTCGAAATATTCTGTAAACAAGCAGAATACGCAGCTAATCACAGCACGAAACCCCGAACAATGGGCAGTGTAAGAAGCCAACGATAACAAGACGGAATGAGAGATAGAATGAGTCACGAAATTGTATTGGCATTCTCTAGTAAGTTCCGCTACAAGGTTGTCTGATATCTCGGCGATTACGTGAAATAGTTTTCGACAGGGATTTAAATCAGGAATTTTGCGAAAGCAGCCGCGAGGATATCATCAGAAATGACGATTGCGAAAAAAATATGTGATAATGCTTGGCTCTGAGCACACCGTGAATCTTCCATGGAATCACTAT